TGGGTTGGTTTTAAATGCTGAATCTTTGTCCTAACAGATCTGATTTCTTGAGTGGTGCAGACAAAGTAGGAAATTGGATTTATAGTGGCACATTCTGGGCTGTGTTAAGAACAACACTGAATCCTTTAAAAAACACAACTGGAATATGCCAGGAAGCCCAAAGAGATCCATGTAAAATACATTTTTTTTTCAATGACAATTTCCCAATTTGCTTTATGGATTCCAAACATTATTTGTGTATGGATTTGCAGAATGTAAGGACCAGAGACTAAATTTGGTTTGTGCTGCATGTAACAGTATAACAAAAAGCAGCAAACGTAAACACGTTCATTTAAAATGCACAACAGTGGGAGTCTTATCCAGGTAAATATTTGCAGGGTTGATATTTGGGGCTTTACTTTTAAAATTCCAGTCCGTGGATACAGACAATCCTCACCTGAAGGGTTTTTCTGACAGAACACTCCATTCGCTTCTTGGTGGCACTATTTATAATGAGAAGATGATCCTGGTGGGTACAAGAAGAGAAGGTTTATTTCTCAGTGGCCAAGTCCACCACCAGACATTGCATTTGCTAGCAAATGCTGAAACAAATTGGTAGTTATCTTTTACCATAATGAATTCCAGCTAGGTTCCCCATTTTAGGGAACAGATTTGATGTGCATTACTGACTATCACGTGAGGTTGGACAGCAGTCATCTCTCTATTCCTAAAATGAAATTAATGTTCAGGAAGCTATTTCTGAGCCCCTGTTTCTAAAGCTTTATCAGGGAAAGTTAAAGGGGTGTGTGTTGTGGTACGTTTTTGAAGACCTCTTAGGAAGTCCCAGCATTGTGGAGACAGGGCACATGGAAAATTTTCAGTGGCTAAAAAACCATATTTTAACAAGGAACAGCTCTAGCTGGCCATGTGACATGTCTCTATTGAATATAGTTAGCATAATCCATTCTCCCCCCCCCACAGCCTCCACCCCCCCACCTCCCACCAGCAGGTTGCAGTCACCTTTCCATCAATCACTGAAAACATCCATTTCTGTATGTGAGATTCTGTGGATCGATTCTGTTTAACACAGCAGATGGCATGATCAGATGGTAAGCAAGGGTTATAAAGTGAGATTTTTTTAAAGGCACCTTTCAGTGATTAGCACTTTGCTATTAACACTTTGCAGTGATGGATCAAATATGACTGTGGAATGGAAATGGAAAAGATCCTTCTTTACAGATCCTTATTCTTCCAAGCTCCTTACCACAGACAACATTCACATTCAGAAAGTTTAGGAACCCAGGAACACCCAGTTGGGCGTTGAGTGTAATTTCTTGGGCTGTACTGAAACCAACTTCAGCTCCACCAAAATGTGTTTAGGATTGATGTGATAGTTTCCAAGTTCATTTGTAGATTGAACAAGTTACTTCACTGTAATGCTGGATTATTAAGATCCAGATCTCCTGAGTGGCTCTCTCCCGACTCACAAATCCCACATGGGCTGCATTATGTTTCCACCAAACACTCCAACACCCCTTAGCATATGATCTTTAGTCAATATCTTCTCCAGTATCATTGAGACCTCATTATTAATGAGATACCGCCGACTAGCTAAGCTATGCCATGTTAGCTCTTGCCAAAGCATGACATTTTTAATACATTAATAATATGTCTGAAATGTAATGGAAAACTATTAATCACATCCTGGACAGGTGCCAGAAATTTAAGCTATAATTGGCTGTTTCTTGTCAAGCATGTCAGTTGCATGATCTGGCATCTGTCTGATAGTCAAATCCCTTTCACAATCAGCTCCATTTCTCCCTTGTCAGCACACCGAATTCAATCAATGCTACAGTCTATAATTCTATGTAATGACCATCATCATGACTCTTAACTTGCTTTAACGAGAATTAATTATTACAGGGGAAAAGGTATAGCCTAGTGAACAGAGAGATCACAGCCGGTGTTGTCTTTAGTTTCGGTCGTCTGCATTCTTGCCTGCAGTTTGAATCTGTCTACATCATGGTGAAATGAAAGAAAGAGAAGGACAGAACATCTCCAATTGTTTTAGACATGGGGATGATTAAATACATATCTGCTTCGGAGTAAGTTGTACTGAAAAGAATAAGGTTTGCCTATAGCATCACATTTTATAGAAGAATGGTTATTCATCTCTTCAGTGTTAATTATAGGTAGCTTTAAAAAACCCAGATATTTGATAGCTTTGTCCAATTAAACAAGAAATGGAATTTCTTGTTTTGATAAGTGCATATGATATATATATACACACATGCACACATTCATGTGTACACACACACACACATGCATATATCAAGTATTCTTTCCAAACTGTGCATACAGGGTGACATGATAGAAGAAACTGTATAGCAATAGATTTGGAATTGATCCAACATTAATTCTAAATTACCAAATTAATACATAAAGTAATTTGGTGTTGATCACTGGACAAGACAAAGCATGTATAAAATGATGAACGTCCTTGGCCAAGTTGGCATGATTTTTTAAAAAAAGATATTCAGATTCTGTTAGTAAAAAATGCTTCTACATTTGAGACAAATTCAGATTTGAAGTTTGAGTATTGTGCAGATCACTGCTGAAAGCAAATTGAACTAGCCAACACACTTCCTAATACAATGCTTTGCATGTAACAGCTGTATGATACCATTTTATGAAATGAATATAATAGGAAATTGCACTTGCGTCCATAAGGCAATTATTGTAATTTGCTATGGAAACACAATGCAACCATCTGTTGGCGCTGCATAGTGTCTGTAGCTACGTTCCGTTTCGAGACTCTGCTTTATTTGAATAGAAGGAGCTTGTCTACAAAATTGTTTTGAAGCCCAGGTTCTCTTTTTTCCTGAAAGTAAGTGCTTTGGAAAAAACTGTGATACTGCAGACATCACCAACAAGGTGTGCTCTTTTTATAAAGGTGACATCATAGAAATAATTATGTTACTAGCTGGAGGACCATACTCAAAAACACACAGAAACAGCAGAACGGTTCCCAGATGTTTACTTACTGGAAACAAAGTAAAAGAGAATTGTGATTCTTCAGCACTGGCCAAATTCAAAAGGTTCAGGTATTTTCAGCATGGAGAAGACTGCATTGCACCTGCCTAAGGTGTAGCTGTTAAAGGTGAGGACTGTCAGGAGGAAAAAGGTAGCAACTCTAATTCAACACAATCATGAATGAATATATGTTCGATTCCCATCTAGACTTTTAACAATTAAGCATTCAAAGTCCTGTGACTGGATGGACAAGCATGGTTTCTCCCATATTGAGATATTTGTAATCTCAAATTCTTTCTATCCTGAATACAAAGAAACACACAGATTTTGGAAAATTCTTACACAGACTGAAGCAAAGTGAAATTCTCACCCATCATTAGCTCGACTCTGTTGCTCATACTGCATCACGCAAAAATGCAAGAGGAAAAGATGAAAACACCAGATTGACATGTTGGAATGCTTTGCTCTAATTATTGTTTTTAGGACTGTGGTGTAGACCAGGAATGGCCCAACTGTGTCATAGGGAATGGCATTCTTCTGCAGATGCTGGACTGTGAGAGCAATCTTGTGTACTCATGAGTGACTAGACTCTGTAATGCAATGGACAACATTGAGCACGGCAAAGTAAAACTGGTTGAGCACCAGGGGGCATAAAAAGAAATGTCTTTGAGGGTTAGATGGCACCCAAATGGTGTAAGGTGGTTGTTCTTCACACAAAGATCCCTCCTAAACTTGCCAAAGATCTGCACAAGGTTTCCGCCCCCCCCCCTTCTTCATTCAAAATATTGCTTTAAAACTACAATGTGAATATGGTGACGTTTTGAGAGGATGGGCCCTGTGATGGAAATTGACACATAAAAAATAATAATAATACTAAAGAAAATAACAGAATATCAGTAGAAAGGGAATTATTACTATAAGCTTCAAATGAGCAAACTGTTATCTTTGTCATTAAACACAATTAAACAAAAGAAGCAGAGCTCTTCCAATGCTAATGAGGAAAAATCCAAAGAGACAGAAGTGTGCTTGTAATATCTTTCTTATTAAGCTAACAAAAGCTGAGACATATACGACGCATTCTGAGCTCTCTAAGGTCCTCTTTCCAAGAGATGAAAAGCACACAAGTTGTTGTCAGTCCTTTGTCACTGTAATAAAAGATCCACCACCTTTGGTGGATTGGGGCTTATCCCCTCTGTGGTTATGAAATACTAAATCTGTTTAAGTACTGGTGCTTGCCAGAATGGAAAAATGCTTTTGAAGCAAACAAACAGAACGTCCCCACCCCCATAAGAATTCCCAGAGCACTCTATATATTCTATGTCTTTGTTAGAGTGGAATTTAATCTCTCATGTCAAAATAATTTTGGCATTGAGTGATTCTGCTTGCTTGTTCATCCCAGCAAAGCACCAGCAGTAAAGGTTATCCAGATTATTCCAATTTACCTTATATTGTATCAAGGCTCTTGAAATGTCAACATATCATATATTTTCTAATGCATTGATCCTTGGACAATAACTCTTACTTTTGTTGTTTCTAAAAGGGTGCTGGTGGCAGAAGAAAAGGATGATTGATGGCGGACAGGCTGTAAGACGCTCATCGTTGTGTTTCACAAACTGATTTATCAGTTTGGTCAGCCATTCCTCATGAATCGGGAAAAGGGAGGATCACTCAGGATTATTGACAGCACTGCGGAGGACTAGCAACTTTGCTAAATTATCATCAGCATTTGGACATTATTTACATATGTGATAAAATATCCTGCTACACCGTGGAAGGCAAGCTTGCTTTGAACCACATCTCTTTGACATGTTAGGCTTCCACCAAAGTTTTCAACTTACACAAATCCTACTTTAATCTAACACTTCTCCTCTGTGCTGGAACACAGTTTACAATAACTTCAGCTGCTCTGGTGTACATATATGTATAATACAGACTGCACTTAGATCTCTCCTGTTCCAGCCAGCAAGACGCCCGCAAAGGATTTAGAGATGTATTTGTCAAGATTCTTGTCGCTCCATGCCCTTTGGGTTACTGTGTCCTCAGTGATGCAGCACTATCCTTCAGTGTGGGGACATTATGATGTGTGTAAGACGCAGATTTACACAGATGAAGGGAAGTTTTGGGATTACACAGCCTGTCAGCCAGAAGCCATAGATATGATGAAATATGTGAAAGTAAACCTGGATCCACCTAATATAACATGTGGAAATCCACCGGAGACCTTCTGTGGAACGGTAAGGCCATTTCCCCTGACCCTGCTGAATTCTTGTATTGTGGAGTAGACCCTTGTAGATCCCTCTACAAGAGAAAGTGAATGTTCTTAGCTTCAACCTTGTGGAGCAAGGGCAAAGTTTATGTTTAGCAGAGAAGCTGCATGCTGACAAATTTCTGGAGGATAGGAAGCATCAACGCCTTTTAAACTGAAGAGAGGAGATGAGTGGTCATTTGTTGATGCCCTTGTTTAGGTACACTGAAATAAATGGAATACTTTTACTTCTTTCTTCATATGAAGGATGCCTTCTTTCACAAGTGTAGACATTTGGGTAGATATTTGGGTTTAACTCTGTATTTGGTTCAGAACTGGTTGATAGCTTGGATTGTGTGTTCTGGTTTGTTGGCATTCTAAGAATGTACACAAATGATCCTTAAATGTCTGAACCATGTCAGGTAATTTCCCACATAAAGATGTTAGCATTTGCAAATATGTATTTCTTAGGAAGACATTTCAGCATTTCTGGTGATCTAGCAATCGTATTTTTCAGAAAGGCACCTAAAGTGCTGCAGGTTTTTCTTTCCTTTCTGTACGTGAATCTAAAGTGAGTCCTCTTAGGTTCAAGAGTGACAGGTGCACATCTTTGGTATGAGATGAATAATCTGATAATATAAAACAACAATGGATAAAAAAGGCTGGCATAACCTGAGGCTTATGTTATCACATTCTAAGAATTCACATGGTTTTTTAGATAACAGCGAAATATTTGATGGTAGCCATGCCTTTCAGCAGAGATGCCAAATCTCTTCTGATCTGAGGGCAGCATTCAGTTTTGGAGAGGCCCTGTGGGGTTAGTGGGGCCAAAGGTGAAAGGGGTGTTATCCTGAGAATTCCAAGTTATTATAGCATGAAACTCAAAAATTTGGCAGTTGAAAAGCTGGGCATGGCGAGGGAAGGGAATGTGGCTATCTGCTGAACCATAGCATTGATCTGGAACTGCAGGAGTTGGCCTGAGGTTTAGCAGTCCTACTGTCAAAGCTCAGAAACAAGAAGACAAGGAAGGGGGAAGAAAGAAAAGAAAGGTTCCTTTCTTGCATTTAGCTCTCCTGACTTTTAAGTGGGTTCAACAAATTAGGTGCAGTCAGCATTGAAGTTGTGGATTAATGTCCACCATGGACCCTTTTACATCCCATGCACCTACAGTATTTGAAGTTTTCAAGTTTTCATATTGGTAATGTATTTGTCCTCAGCCCTTGGTGTTAAACACATCTGAGTTAAACCTGCATACCAGGTTCATGGGGACAAACCTGGAGGAAATGGCATTATAGATAAAGAAATGACATCAAAATCTGCTTCTGCGATAGCTCACAGAATGTTGGATATATAATTCTGTCTCAAACTGTGCATGTAGATTGATGCTCAGTTAGCCCAGTGATATGAATAAAAGCAGGACAAGAGCAGTAGCCTATATAGCTGTCATTGGTTCCATTTGGAGTTGCACAGGTGAACTTCCCAGTGGGTTGCTCCCATAATTCTGGGTAAGGCATATTGAAAATCTGTGATATGGAGTGTCTTGACCAAACGTATGATTTTGAAGTATGAAGTGAATTTTTCAGCTATTGCTCTGCCTGTTATATGGCCAGGATCTGCATCTTTGGAGAAGCTTTTGCTGTGTGTGCAAAAGATTCCAGGCTCTGTCTCTGGCATCTCCAAATACATCCAAGAAAGATTTCCATCTGAAACCCTAAATCAACCAAGCGAGATCATCTGCCTTGGCATATGGCAGCTTCTTATGTACCTATGTTCTTGGGGTGGAGTGGAATATGATCTAATTGCTGAAATATTTTCACACTGATAATGGAAGATGAGTGTTGAAGATTGATTCTCATTTAGCTTGGTCCAAATCATAGTAAATTAAACAGTAAGATTACAGAAGATACATCTTTCCCTTTATGATAGGATCCCTTGCCCCCTTTAGAATACACCTGGTCTCTAGCACCTATGACTGTCTTGTGGCCATAAGAATGCGCTGTCCAGGTGCTGAAGTCTGATTATTATGTTTTCTCTTAGCAATCTCTAGGGGTATCAGCAGGATAAAGTCAGGGAGAAACAAGAGGGAGGTAAAGAACTGAAAGTTAACCATGTATGGAAGACTTCAATGAACAGAAAGTTAACCATGTATGGCCTGTAATCCAGTCAAAGGAATAGTTTGGTACAGCATATAAAATATTTTATTTTTATGTATTTTATTTAGAATTTTTGTATGCCATCCCATTCGCATGAGCCTCGGAACAGCTTACATACAATAAATAAACGCAATACAAATAGTGCACATAAAATCAGATTTACCCTGGTTGCAATTTAAAAAACCTATAGATATTAAAAATTGTTAAAATATTGTTTAAATGAAAAGGTCTTAGCCTGGCGCCGAAAAACAAATAACGACGGCGCCAGGCGGACCTCTCTAGGGAGCGCATTCCATAGATTGGGTGCCACCGCAGAGAAAGCCCTCCTCCGAGTTACTTACCCTCTAATTTCCTTCACAGAGGGTTCCCGGAGACGGGCCTCTGCTGCCGATCTCAGGGGGCGGGAGGGCAAATATGAAAGAAGGCGTTCCTTTAGGTATCCAGGTCCCAAGCCATTAAGGGCTTTATTGGTGATAACAAGCACCTTGAATTGAGACCGGACTTCGATGGGGAGCCAGTGAAACTGCTAGAGGACTGGGGTTATCTGAGAATAACACCCAGCCCCTATCAGCAACCTGGCTGCTCTATTTTGCACCATCTGAAGTATCCAGACTGTCTTCAAGGGCAGCCCCACATAGAGTGTGTTACAGAAATCCAATACGGAAGTAACCAATGCAAGTGTCACTATCGCTAGACAATTATCCTCCAGGTAGGGATGCAGCTGATGGATTAACTGAAGCTGAAGGAAAGTGCTCCTCGCCACCGCAGTCACTTGAGCTTCCAAAGACAGCTCCGGGTCAAGGAGCACTCCCAAGCTGCGGACCCTGTCCTTTAGAGGGAATGCAGCCCCATTCAGGACAAGGTCCAAGTCACCTACCCAGGAGCCCAAACCACCCACCAACAGGACCTCCATCTTATCTGGATTGAGTTTCAGTTTATTGGCCCTCATCCAGCCCATTACCTTGGCCAGGCACTGGTTCAGTACACCGGTTCAGTATGATCTCAGATATATTGAGATCTTCTTTGATTCTCATAGTTGCCTGCTGAAATGTTGCTTTTGCTGCTGTACTGTAAGTGGGTTATGTGAATTGTGGCCTTCACATTGATCTTGTTGTTTTCTTCTTGTGTATGAGGAAAATAGTGGAGGTGGGCATTCATTGAAGACTGCAAATTAGTGGGAAAGGAAAAAGGAAGGCTGTGAAGGAATGAAGGGGAGAGAATCTCTTTTCCATAGAGTATACAGAAAAAGCAGCAGGCAAAATGCAGAGACATAATTATTTAAATGGCATGACAGACCTCATCTTCTTAGGCTTCCTTCATTAGGGATTTTTCCTTTGTTGGAACAAAGCAGGGGCACTAAATCTCAGGCCTGTTAACCAAATCTGGTGTGCTTGGTCCCATGCATGCATTAGGACCAGAATACTGAAAGGACCTACTTGTCCAGGTTGAGCCTCCTCACCTGTCGAGATCATCTTCATCTTGTATGTCCCCTGAGATACTGCTGGTTGAGATTAAAAGCAGGACTGTCGGGAATAGCCTAGCCTCTGGAACTCAATTCACTTTTGTTTTATATTGCCATCTGAACAACTTCCATTTTATACTGTATTTTTATACTGCATGTTATGTTTTAATATTATTGTAAACCAGCCAGGGAGCTTAGGCTATTGAGTGGTATAAAAATGTAGCAAGCAAACAAAAATTTCAAGGGATGCTTCACTGACCTCCTTGCTGATGACCCTTAAGAAATTGGTGAAGAGCTTTGTCCTTAGGAAGGCTGCCAGCATGCAATTTTAATTTGCCGTTTTAATCAGTCATTTAATTTGGAATAGTTTAAATATTTTGATTGCAGTTACACTGTGGCTTTCTGCTGCTGTTTTGTGTTTTCATGTTATAATGTAAATTGCAAGAATGATTTTACTTGATAATTACTGACTTGTTCTATGGCGCCTAGAACTCTTTGGCGAAAACGCTGGGTAGAAATGCTCTCTAAAAATATAAATGCTTGATGTGCATCCAGAGAGATTTCTAAGGTTACTTTTCTGAACTTAGCGTATGAATGTTTCTGCACACAGCCTCTCTGGAAGCACAAGGAGCTGCAGTTTTCAAAATTAAATCAGCCTGTAATATTATCCCCAACCACCACCCAGAATGTGAGGTTACTCTTGCAGTGATGCAGTTTGTTTGTTTTCATGCTGGTTGAAAGGACACAGTCCAAGCTTGGAGACTGGCTATGAGGTCAAAGCATTTTTCTGACTTCATCGCTGGAACTTTGAAAAATCCTATGACTGTCTTGTGGCCATAAGGATGCGCTGTCCAGGTGCTGAACTCTGATTATTTTGCCTTCCCTTAGCAAACTCCAGGGGTATCAGCAGGACGAAGCCAGGGAGAAACAAGAGGGAGGTAAAGTTTATTCTTGAAAATTCTCAAAGTTCCCAAAAGTTTTTAAAAAATCTTTTTAAAAAGTATAAGTTCAAAAAGCAAACCATGCAAATACCCATGGCATGCTGGAAAAGAAAACAAGGGACAGAGTGGAAAACCCTTTTAAACTTTATGGTATTGCAGAAGATGCCATGTTTGGCTGGCTGGATCCCCAGACAGGAACACCCATATTAGCCTGTAAAATATACTGCAACATTTTGTTGCAGGTTACATCTATCTGTTCTGTATTGTTGTTGTTAAAGGGGTGGCTCTGGCATTGATTAACGGACCTGCTGATAGTTTGGAATACTAATTTGTACAGGGATCCAAATGTTTTGTCATTTGGTTTCTGGGAAAGAAGGAGTAAGCAGATCTCTCATTTTGATTTTGCTTTTATTCTAGTTGATGTGATTTAATT